GAGGCTGCCGGACACTGGCGCCACCGGGCCCTCTGACCACCACCAGTAGGCAACGGGTGAAGTGTCTTGCCCAAGGACACAACGACCGAGACTGTCCGAGCCGGGGCTCGAACCGGTAACCTTCCGATTACAAGGCGAACTCCTAACTCTTGAGCCACGATCGCCCTAGACAAGAGACAAGAGACAAGAGACAGAGTGCCACACAGAGACATGCCACAGAAGAAGAGACTGACCTAACTGGGGAAACGCTGAGGGAAGGACAGAGAGATACTAGACAAAATGGCATATATATGCCATAGAAACAAGACAAAAACATGAACAGGACCAATTAAAAACCAAGAAAACCTAAACTAGAAATACTGATAAACTCAAGATCGTAAGCAAACTGAGCTAGGAAACATAATAAACTTGTTTGTGTTGTCTGGGATCATTTGAACTGAAACTGCCTTTAGCAGTTCTACTAGAATGTTACCAAACAGTTATCCAAATAATAAAGCTATTGATGTCCAGTTGACACGAGCAATGCAAATGAGCATTGTATGTTTGTTTTACCTTCCCTGTGCTTGTAGCTGTCAGTGATATCAACCCTTTTCCAGGAGTCAACAGCCTTGGTAGAGATGCTCTGACCCACTGACATGGAGTCAGTGTACATTTTCTTCTTTGAACCGTTAGTACTGATCTGAGAAAAGTAACATCAAAACAGAAAATTGTCAATACTTTGTGCAAGACTGCATAATTTAATAAGCTAAAGCCACTGGTAAATCTGCACTTATGTTTGTCAGTCAGAATAACCTTTGTGTTGAAGTTGTCGCCATTAAATTGTAGACGATGTAAGTGTGATCTCTGTTTGCATTTGGGATGTTGAATGAGTTTGAAGGGGTAGCCCAGAGAAATATAGAGTGAACATTGGGCTCCTCAATGGTCTTACATCTTGTCAATTAACAACAACATCCATCCATTTTCGCAGGGGGTAGCAACCTAACCCGCTGCTTAACACTTGGCTGCGAACCACTCCAGTGTGAGCTGGAGGCCACCACCTGATGAAGCCAACAGAACCATCCTCAAAAAACAGAGATTAAATTTTGAGTCTGCCCAAGTGGAAGCCTTCTGCCACTTCGCTAAGCCTAGAAATTCTGTGAATAAAAATTATGAACAGAATTGGTGACAAAAGGCAACACTGGCTGTCCAACACCCAATGGGAACGAGACAGGGTAAAGAGCTGCTCTAGTGTTCCGCGACAGGGATGAACCTTGTGAGATCCTTTGGGTGGCGCTGTCACTTGGTGTTCGCGCTCTCTGCAG